GCCTCACGCAAAGCTCGGCCTTCCCGGGGTTTACGCCATTCTCCTGGCCTCAGCCTCCGAGCGTGGGACTACAGCGCGACGCCCTCGCCTGGCTGCTCTCTCTCCTTGTATTTTTTAGAGCAGAAATGGGTTCCACGGTGGTTTTCGCCCGGAGGTCTCGCATTGCTGACTCGTGATGCCGCCGTCGCTTCAGACCTCCAGGTGCTGGGATTGGAGACCTTTTCAAATAACGTGCTTTCTTGCCAAGGCTGGAGTGCAGTGGTGTGATCTCAGCTCCTTGCAACCTCTGCCTCTCAGATTCAAGAGATTCTTCAGCCTCAGCCCCACAAGTAGCTGGGATTACAGGTGCTCACCACCACGCCCAGCTAACTTCTGTATTTTTAATAGAGATGGGGTTTCGCCATGTTGGCCAGGCTGGTCTCAAACTCCTGACCTCAAGTGATCCACCTGCCTTAGCCTCTCAAAGTGCTGGGATTACAGGCATGAGCCACAGCGCCTAGCCTGAGTCCTTTTCTTTGTTTGTCTGTTTTATTTCAGGATGGGAAATGCAACTTGAAACCCAATGGTCTGCACTTCAGCAGGACTCTTTGACGGGTCAGACATCCATCGGGATGCAATTGGTAAGATTTGCAAGGGATATTTTTTATCTTCCACCCTCAGAGAAAATCAGGAATTCTATTATGGGAAGTCAGCAAAAATAAGAGATGAATCACAGTATGTACAGGGTTCAGAACTAGCCATGATTCAGGCATCCACCTGGGGTCTTAGAACATTTCTTTAATTGTTTAGATATACGCTCTTTTTTCAGAAATTTCCTACTTTCATTTCCTGATACTCTCTATTCACTATCAGTTTTAATTTTCATAGCATCAATTTGTAATAAACGATTGAAAAGTTTTACCCCATGTTCTTGTCTTGGCCAGTTTTACCCCCTTTGGATCGTTTACATCAAAACCAAATTTTTAATGTAGCCCAGATCCCCAAATATCTTTCTGCTTTTTCTTCCTACCTGGGCAACACAGCAAAGGGACCCTGTCATCACAAAAATTTTAAAGAATTAGCTGGGTGGGCCCGGCGGCGGGTGGCTTTTCAGGCCTGTAATCCCAGCACTTTGGCGAGGCCGAGGCGGGGTTTGATCCCACGAGGGTGAGGAGATCGAGGACTATATCGCTCGCGGGGTAACATGGGTGAACAGACCCGCGATCTCTACGTAGAAAATTACAAAAAAAACTTAGGACCGAGGGCGTTGTGTGGCGGCGCCTGTTAGTCTCAGCTTACATGGGGAGGCTGAGGCGTGGAAAGCGAAAAGCGACGAGAATCTGTGGCTGATGAACCGGAGGCAGAGCTTGCAGTGAGCCGAAGATGCAGCCGCCACTGCACTTCCAGGGCCTTGGAGGAGGACCACAGCGCGAGGGGACTCCCGTCTCAAAAAAAAAACAAAAAAAAAGAAAATTAGCTTGGTGTGGTGATGGCATGGCCTGTTTAGTCCCAGGCTACTAGGGGAGCCTGACGGTAGCGAGGATCGGCTTGGAGCCCCGAGGTAAGACTATAGCTGAGCCATGATTGCACCACTTCACCTCCAGCCTGTGGTGCACAGAGGCAAACACTTTTCGTTTCAAAAAAAACACCAAAATTAAAACTCGAATTGCCTATGTTCAATCTTTTCATGTGGGGGAATGTGTAAAAAGCCTCTGAAGGAAAACAAAGTTTCAACAATACATTTTTGGGAGCATCCCCGAGGATTCTTCGCTCCCTTTGTATGTGAAAGCAAAACTTTCTTCAAATATCCTCTTATTTTTTGCTGACTTCCCAA